TACAAATACAAATATTGTTTATTTCGTCAATGTAGGTATGTTACAATAGATGATAGATAATATTATAGTAGTTCGCTACATTGTGTCTGTACAGACATACAAAATTTTTTATAGTATGTTCTTAATCTAGTGTGTTTACAGACAATAATCTTCCCTGTCTACATTATGGAACATAATACACCTAATTACAACTAAATTAATATTAACATCAAGTTTTAATAAAACTATTATTTGTGTTGAAAATTTACTCTATCAGCCGTATACTCAATTAAACTATAATAACATTGAAGTAACTAAATGACTAGGTTTACATTAACTTATGGAAACAATAAAAATCTTCATTGTTAACATTATAAATTTCCTCTGTCATCAATCATAAATTCGGTTAAATTATAATAACATTTAGTTATTAAAAACTGCCTTAGTTTTTTTTTGAAAAGAGGTAAGTCTAGTGCTTTGATTTCCTTAGGTAATTTATTATATATTTGTGCAGCAACCCTGAAAATACTCTTACTAAAAAGCGCTGTATTACCGTGTACTACTTGAAGGTCACCAGTATCCTTTTGCCTCAGCCTGGAATCGCGTGGGGGCTTTAATTCAATCACCATCTTGATATTCTCGGTGTTACGTTGACCTCGACTCTAAATTTTGGGCATTTATCGAAGCAAAGGCTCAACTGGCTGCAAAAAAGCTGGGAATCTTTTCGAAGGTCAGACGGTACTTCGCGCCGGAATAGCTGCTCAAACTTTATCAAGCACAAGTTCGATCGTGTATGGAGTACCTACTGCTCTCATCTTTGGGATGGATCTGCCCAATACCAGCTTGATGCACTCGAGACAATTGAGAGGCGAGCCAAGAGAATCATTGGCTATGATGTACTCGTCGAGTCGAGGCTTCAAAGTCTTGAGCATCGACGCAAAGTCGCTAACCTGTCGGTTTTCTACCGATTGCACTTCGGAGAGTGTGCGTCGGAATTGCATAACCTAATTCCGTCTAGCCCGTTTCATCATCGGACCACCAGGCGTACGGCGATGCGCCATCGGTACATGGTGGACATCCCACCCATACGTACAAAACGTTTTAGAAACACATTCATTGTGCGTACAGCAAAGGAGTGGAATTTCCTGCCTGAATCTGTGTTTCCTGATGGCTACAACCCTGGAATCTTTAAGTCAAGAGTGAATAGGTTACTTCTAGGTAAGCGCGCTCCATCGTCGACCGCATCGTCCATCCATCAGGTGAGTTAGCGGTCAAGCGCAAACCTATCAAGAATAAAAAAAAAGAAGAAAAGAGATGTGTCCAAAAATTAGTGTGTATTTGTGTGTAATTGTGTATGTATGAATAAAACTAGTGCATGCATAAACTTCGGAGAAATTCAAGTTTCCGCCACGCGGACGTTTGGCCATTAGCAATTACATTGGCTGCATACCTACACAATTTCTTGTTTACCATACACAATTATACGATGTCATACACTAAATATCTGCATAGGTAATTAAAATCTTTAAATTCAACAACATTCCGCTGCGCGTACGCACACCAAAAGTTCGTTGAATTATAATGTAAATGAATTTAAGTATGGGTTTTTATTATAGGCAAATTTTAATATTGACACATCAAATAAAATATCCGTTGGGACGAACACTGATAATGTTACGGATAATATGGAATTAAATAATTTAAATATGGAGACAGTTGGAAAGTGCTACACGCTGGGATTTGTCATTGGAAGAAAATTGACCATGATGCCACAAGAAAAACGAGAAAATTGCATCCACCAGTTATTACATTGCTTCGATACATTCGATTATTAACATTAAAGTATTTATATACATGATTTTGCTTTTTACGCCCCATTATTTATCACGATTACGTAAACAACAGCAATAACAACAAGTAGATACGCGCGCATTCGACAACAAGACGCAACTCGTTGCACTAAGCTACTTTCCACCAGGGATGTTATGGATATGAAATTTCGGTTACGGATTGGATACGGATATAGGAATGATTACTATACCGGATACGGTTACGGATACGGATAATAAATTATTTCGGATTATCCGTTAGTTTCGGTTACGGATATTATATTTTTAAGGAATTTTAAAGGTAATCTATCAATTTCTTTTTGTTTGGTATTAGTTTCATCCCAGGTACCTTTATTTTTTAACGAATCTTTGAGTGTCAACTGTTTTTTACACTCTTGTAAAGGTGTCAGCTGCTTGGCTGTTTGTAGGTTATTTTGTTGGTTACCTTTTTCCAGTAGCAAAACTTCTTCGTACTTATCACTATGTTGTGATTTAAGGTGAAGTTTTAGCGATGTAGTGCCACCTCCTTTCCTTGAAAAGCTTTTACCACACTGTTTACATTTTGCGGAATCGGTCATTTCATCAAAAAACGACCAAACTGCACTCGACTTAGGACGCATTTTGTACAAATTCAATCGATTCCGTAACACAACCAACACATTTGTCAAAGAAGAAAAAAAACAAACAATGCGCGCAGCTTGTGTGTCGGCACTGGCAGCGGCCGGCCGATCAAAACAACTTGTCATAACGTGTCTCAATTAGGCTCCGCCCCTATCCGATACTATCAGAAACTTTAATTTCGGATTCGGTTACGGTTACGGATGATTTTTTATATCGGATATCCGATAGTTTCGGTTACGGTTACGGAGCTCCCTAACACCCCTGCTTTCCACTGTTACACAGGGTCTGGTACTCTGGTCTATTCGTTACAATGTTGCCGCTCGGCGTTGCGGCTGTGCGAGTGAGAGCAACTAATGTCGCATCATCGTCTCCCTCTCGCGACTGGTACCGATATAGAATAAGATATAATTATCGATAATTTTATAGCGGTATTTATTAAATTCGATGTGGATATCGATATTAACATAAAATATCAGTTGCAATAATGATATCTTCTTGAAAATATCGGTATTTTTCATTTATCGATATCGGTCCCTGCTTCTAAGTTCAAATTGACAGTTACAGAGTCGCCAAGCAGGTTTTGATAACTTATTAACAACTAAAAACTACCGCAAAGTTAAGTTCGACGTTTCATTAATTTTGACGTCACCACTCGACACTGGCAGTATAGTCGACAACAACGTTTTGGAGACTCTGTTGCCAAAGAAGAAAAAGAAAAAAAGACAACTTACTATCAGAAAAAAGTTTTAGAAAAATGTGTAACACTATTTGCGAAGATACAAAACAAATAAATAAAAAACCAATTAGAATATTAAACAATTTTATTGAAACATAGAACATATAATCTTAGTTAGAGATTCCAACTAATATACATAGGTAGTAATATTAACACAAAAGGCACTGTTTACCCGAATAACTTAAAGCTGCTCAATCAAATACACAATCAGTACAAATTACTACAACACTTAATTATCATAGACATGAATGAGTAGATTCCAGGGTATCAAAATTAAAAATCTAATTAGTCCGTCAGTTTCATAATGAAAAAATATTAGACACGTATTTTTTATTTTCTCGTATTAAGTTACAATATTTAGATAAAACGGCGCTAAGTTTAGGAGTAGGAGGTCGTTACGTCATAAAGTGCTACAAAATGTGGCACGCTGTGACGTCACACGATATTTCAAATGCATATATCGTCGAAAGAATATTTGGTGAGAAAAGAAAAAATATATAAAGTCTTAAATGAATGTGTCAGATGGACATTAAAATAAAATTTAGGAAACTATCCTATTATTTTAAAAGGTATGATGATTCATTTTGTTAAACTTTAAACGATGTAATATCTACAATTTTTTCTTCGAACAAAACAAGCACAAGATGACTTGCATTTTTTTCCAAAAAGATTATGACGAAATATTTTTTTTTTTTTATAAAATAGTTATAAATAAATCTGTTTCTATTTTTAAATATCAAAGGATTTTAACGTATAGGATTAAAAAGTGATGAAATTCCATAAAATAGATTTTGTTCAGAATAAAGTACGGCATTTAAGGTGATACCAGATAGTTCACTTGAATGAATATTCACCCCAGTGAATGTTTCATTTATTTTTCGTTCATGTTCAGACGACTTTAGTGGAATAACAAAGAAATTCATTCATTGTTTTTTTTTATTTGTTAATCGAGTGATGTCGTACGTCTCGGAGTCACTAATTCAACCAAATCCGAGTGAACGTTCACTCTGTCGGCATTTTTTGTTCATTCGGAGTGGGAGCGAATGATGCCGAATGCCAAAATCTAACATCGTTGGTTCGGTTCACAAATGAATTCATTTTAGTAATCTTGTTTCATTCTGAGTTCAGACGTATAATTTTGAATGAAAAACAAATATGAACCGTCTGTACCTTTAGAAAAATAGTAGTAGATTTTTATGTATAGTAATTTTGACAACACGGCACGGATTGACTTCGAAGACAAAAATGAATGCGTTCAAGCACCGCAGGCACCAATAAGCAGGGCTAATAATATACCAAATAGTCTAATACTTAGATATAAACTGCAGTTATTAGTATTTTAGTAAATCTTTAAATTCTTAATGTCTATTTTAGTTCTATATTTAATATTAATAATTAATTTTGGCTTACACAGGTAATTTAATTATAATTAAATGCATTTATTATAACAGGTGTCTTAATAAAAATATTGCGCTCAAAATATACAATGCAGACTCTAAGAGTCAAAAACTTCAATAATAATTTTGCCAATCCAGGAATGGAACTAACAGCCATCAGGACCGAAATCAAACTTTCAACAACTACAATTAGACAGACTTGGACCATATTCAGACTATTCAGAGCCGACACTTCGATGCCTGGATTAGACAAAGAATTATTAGGTACTTTATAAAAATATGTTCCTTCATACAACTCTAATATTTATATTTAATGACTTTTAGACATTATAAATACCATTCATATCATTTTATATATTGTAATAAAATATACTGAATCATATACTGACATCTTGTTTTACAATTAGAACCTCCTTTTGTAAGTCACCTGTACCTATCTTGCAGTTCGCATTTACTAGTAGACCTTCGAATCTGTAACAATAATAATATAAAAATAATATTTGTTCAAGAACGAAGAGGTTCAATATTTTTTTATTATAAATAAACATTACCCCACATTAGGGTTTTCTCCTGTGTCGTGGATGCGTTTACAAACATACAAGTTCACATACACAATGACACCCAGACCCGAAACAACAATTTGTGGACCACACAAAGTGTTGTTCCGTGCGGGAATCGAACCCGCGGCACGTTGCATGGCAGCCAGTTGCCCAGGCACCGCACCAACTGTGCAGTCAATATTTGGCAGTTATTGCCATTGTATTGTAATGGACATCCTCTATAAGTGGATAAAACACATCATATTAGTGTCCACTGCTGACCAAAGGCCTCTTCTCACACGGAGAAGGTTTGAGCATCAATAACCGGTTTAAGCATGCAGGTTGGCGATTTCAAACTTATAATTAGAAACTATAAGTCCAAAGGCCTTAGTACGAGTTTGTTTTACGTTTAAAGTAATCGTAACGAGTACGCGTTCGGCGTTGTGCTTGGTTGGTTCATTGGCGCCGGCCAATCAGGGTGCCGAACGCATACTCGTTTCGAATACTTTAAACGTAAATCAAACTCGTACTAAGGCCTCTGGTTTCCTCACGATGTTTTCCTACACCGTTTGTCAGTGGTGACTAAATAATCTTAGATAGTACATGTAACTCGGAAAAAGTCACATTGGTACTTGCCGTTGATAGGTTTCGAACGCGCACCCTCATGTATGAGAAGTGGGCGTCTTAAACCTCCGGGCCACCACGACGATGGATAAAAAGGTGACTAAAAATCAAAGAATTGATCATGACTGGGATAGATGGTGATTCTTAAATATTTCAAGTGAATGACAAATCATATCATCAGATAATTTGATGATAAAAGTCGGTACACAAAATTTAACTGCACGGATGGTGCCATGGCTCGGCAGCCGGCGTGACACGGGTTCGATTCCCGCACGATAAACACTTTGTGTGATCCACAAATATCAGTTTGGGTTTCATGTGTACCTATGTGAAATCGTATGTTTGTAAATGCACCCACGATACAGTAGAAAATCCTAGTGTCTAGGGACGTCTAGAGGCAACGTTTTGTTTTTTTTAAATAAAGAAGAATAAAAAACATTTTAAAGCTATCCTCACCCTTTAGCACTAGCAGTAGCTGCATCCATCGTGACATCGAGTTCACATCGTATGCACTGCTCACTGCAGTTGGATATCGCGGTGTCACTCAATTCCACTTTAGACCCAGAGTACATCTGTATGCCTACGCCACAGTTCTTTATTGTACAGTTCCTGAACTCCACCTGTAAAGGAAGATTATGACTATTATGGACTAGCTGTTGCCTGCGACTTCGTCCGCGTAAAATATGGTTACTGTTTTATCCCATAGGAGCATTTAACCGGAATAATTTTATCAGCTAAGTCAGCCCAAACCCTGTCTGTATACCAAATTTCATCAAAATTCGTTCGGTAGTTTCAGTGTGATTGATGGACAAACATTTACTTCTCATCACTACATAATATAAAACAAAGTCGCTATTCGTCGTCTGTCTGTATGCTTCGATCTTTAAAACTACACAACGGATTTTATGCGGTTTTTTTTTATTGATTCTTAAGGAAGGTTTATACGTAATTATGTATAATACATGCATATTGCACCCGTGTAAAGCCAGGGCGGGTCGCTAGTTTATAATATTAGAGAGGGAGGTAAGAATAAGTATTGGTGTCCACCGTCTTTGTCTAATATAATGGGAGACAGGAATAGAGGTAGAACTTGTTCCTCCCTCTATACTCACTCTATTGATCACAGTTCTGAGTGAAAGTAAAATAATAGAAGTTGGCAGGTTTTTCAACGGTCGGCAAGGCGCATGTGATGCCCCAAGTGTTGCAAGCGTTCATAGGCCACGGTAACCACTTTCCATCAGGTGGGCCGTGTGCTTTTATTGCCACCATCGTGGTATAAGAAATGGCAAAAGTGGAAATAGTATTGAATACGTAGGTACTTCAGTTCAGGTAAGGAATATTGAAAAATCGAATGACAATTTACACTATTCAGTGATCGAACACTTCATACAGTTTCTCAACAGAAAAAACTGGTAATAACTTGAAACATTATTATTTTTAGGTTATGCTGGAGCAAAACTTTTTTACCACAACCTCATTGGTGCTATTGATTAAAATAATAATTGTTTTTATGTTCCAAATCTTATACTATTATATAAAGCGGAAGAGTTTGTTTTTTTGTTTGTTTGTTTGAACGCACTAATCTCCGTAATTACAAGTCTGATTTGAATAATTCTTTTTGTGTTGGACAGCGCATTTATCGAGAATGGCTATAGGCTATAAAACATCACGCTGCGATCAATAGGAACTGAACAGAGCGTGTGAAACCGCGCGGAAGTAGCTAGTTTTTCTTTATCATCTGTTTTTGTATGTCAAAAATACATGCGTTCTATCAATATATGATTTTTCTTTTTATTATACAGGCCTTTAATACAGGTTACAAATAATAAATTAAACAATATTACCTGCGCTCCCTTATGCACGACGATTCCGGAGTAGAAGTTATCAAACGTGCAGTTTTCTATGAGGATCTTCGCGCCAGACATCGCCACTATGCCTTGGGCGAAATCACTCTGTAACATAGATATAGGTATGTATCTAAAGAGGTGTAGTTCATCTAGGCTCTTACTCTTGAAACCAATCTCAACGTTAATGCAATTTCAATCCAATAAAAACTCAATTATTATTCAATATTAAAACTATACAACCCCTATCGTAGCTGTTGAAATAGCATTCAGAGTACGGAATATAAAGCCGAACTCAGTACCATTTAGTTCATTAAATATTCACGCAATACGAATGCAATGGGCGCTAGTATTGCAACTCAAGAGTATGTTATAAAAAATTTTACAATACAAATATCGATCGATCGGAATTGGATTCAAGAGTAAGCCCCGTGGTATTAGGATTTCAGATAGCTAAGGATGCGAGACTAAATTTTCCCTGGCCAAGATACCCTACTATGCAATAAGTAAAAAGTAATTAAAGAATATACACCTCGTTGTGATTAGGATTTTTTCTTAACCCATATCTTCCCAAGGTATTAAATTTAAAAAAAAAAGTAGTTTTGATTATATATATCTAAAAAGTAGCTCTTATAACACACAAAAATATGCATTAATTTTTTATACGTTTTATAGAACTCGAATTTCAGGACCGCACCTTAAATGGGGCGTTGGGAAAATATGCCTATAGATTATGCATAGAGAAATAATTCACACAATGTATGTTGGAGCTCGTTTATTTATAACATGACAAGAAAATTGGCAAAAATGAAACAAATTATATGAAACCAATAAACATAGGATTAAAAAAAAAACAACAAATAAAAAAAAACTTATTTTTCAGTGTGGAAAGATTTCGAGCAATGTTGATGCAAACCCACACCACATTTACTGCACCTAAACTTAGTATTCTTGTGACATTCACGGCACCGAACTTGTGTTTCATTTCTGATTATGTAGTGATCCTTACCGTCTAATCTTATTGAATCAGGCAGATTTTTCTTTTTAGGCATAGCTGTTTTATTGCCGATCCGTTTTGGGAGAGACGATGACGCTTTGCCAAGAATCAAATAAGTTTGTACTATATATCTTGTAAATGATAAAAAATCGTGAGAATCTTTAGCTTGACCTGCTGGCGATAGCCGGTACAATTGGTATGCGTTATTTACACACACATTAATCGGAAACATCATCATTTGCCAATACCACCTCTTTAGTCTAATACCGATTCTATATTTACCAACATTTTGGTCAAGTCTGTCGACTCCGCCCATGTATTTATTATATAGTTGGTAACAGTGAGGTTGATCTACGTCAATTCGTTTATTATTGGTCCACCTTTTCACCTTGCCGATTGGCTGAACACCGCTTTCTGTCGAAGCTATAGTTACGATGTTATTGTCATTGTAACGCACTAATGTAGAATTTGATAATACATCCGTAATTTGATGAAAAGAACCTCTAGCAGTCTTTTTCATCTCTTTTATATCTTTCAGCGGCGCTCCTTCAGTTCTATTAGCCCGAAGAGTTCCAGTGATGTCGTGACCCATCTGACCAACTTCATCCAGTAATCGCAAAGATGTAAAAAAGTTATCCGTATAAAAACTATAATGGTCTGTGGCTGGCAGCTTGGAAATCAAATTAGTCACCACGGAACCACCTACTCCAAGATTTGGATTGGTATTGCCGGTTTTAGCCCCTTGATATGGTTCACCATAAATGAGATAACCCAATCGTGTACAAAGTGACCAAATTTTGTAACCAAACCGTATAGGTTTACCATGTATGTGTTGTTTGGTTCCATGTTTTCCAAAATAAGGCACCATAGATTCATCAATCGACAAATGTTTGTCACCGGGAAAGAATTTTAGCCATCTTTCATTCATCATATCCCAAAGAGGTCTTACTTTACCAAATTTGTCATCGGGAGGGAGACTACTATTATCGCATGCATGAAAAAATCGCAGAAGCTCATCAAAACGATTACGCGTCATGCATGAAGCAACTCCAGGGTGATGAGTATCTATACTCTGATCCCAGTATAATCTGTAACGCGATACGTTATTATAACCAGACAATAGTAAAATTCCTATAAAATTCTTTACTTCTTCAATCGTGAGTCTAAAATTTACGTGTCCTTTGGCAATAGCATTATTTTCGGTACTAGAACGCAGTAGTTCAAAAACTTCGTTGTCAAAAAACATCTCAAAAAACTGTAATGGATTATCTTTATCTAAAACAAAGTCGGGTATTACGGTTTCTTTTTCAGGTTTTACTGATATATCTGTATATCTCCACTTCCTTGTAACCATAGTCTTAACTTTTTTTGCAGGTCGTTCTATGGCTTGAGATGTTGTTGGGGGCTCCTCCTCTTCTTCCTGATCAAAACCGTCCACATTTTCCAAAATTCCTTCCGACGATGGAACCGTACGTCGAACCTCAGCTTCGGCTAACAATTGCCGACGCGCTAGATTACTTATATCCGCTGTTTCCTCGCTTCCACTATCTTCATCACTCAAATCGTCATTTTCCGGAGGTGTGATATAAATGTCAGCAGAAATTGTACGGCTATCTTCTTCTAAACACGATATAATTTCATGAACAGTCAAACTGTAACAAAAAAAAAAGAAAAGTTAACTCTGATTACATAAAAAACTACATTCATATAACATCTTTGCATCAATTAACCATGATGCCTTCTATTCCCAACGCACCTCAAATGGGGCGTTCTATATAACCTTGTAAAAGTCATAAAAGGAAACGAAATATCATTATGCTCATAATATTATCCAAGAGTGTAACAAATCACCTACTAAAAACATTATATCATTATACTTATAAATAAATAGTATGAAAGTTATTACTTACATTTTGCGGGCACTCATGTTGGTTGAAATTCACAAAACTTGAAGATTTATAAAAATATAACGAAACAACACAGTTACTGTTAACTAATATTAGATTGATTGCAAAAGTGTCTAGTTTATGAAAAAAAAATAGCATCTACCCTCACTTGTGAAAATGTAGCCTTGTCACATAAAAATATAAGCGCACCTTAAATGGGGCGGTGGGAAGATATGGGTTAACGAGGCGGGAGGGAGTGTCAGACTCTTACTGACTAAAAACCACCCCGTTCCTTCTCCTGCACGTCGAGCCGGAGTCCCGGTTACCCGTTAGGTTCTCCGCGACTCCGAATCGGCATCGGCCCTATTGGGCCCCATCTGTGGTGGTCTGATGGCTCTTTAAGACGCGCGCGGAACGCTCAGGTGTGTTTCCGGTCGGACGGGGAGCCACCCATGCTCGCCGTCCGCAGGCCCGCGCAAGTTGTGATTAGGATAAGGTTAAGATAACGCTTTAGGTACCCATAAAACAATTCAGGCATCATCACTCTGTTATTGAGAATTTAGATACTTCATATTCTTAAGTCGATGAATAATTCATTATTATGTTTTTCGGTTTCCTCGCGTAATTGTTTGACGACAAAGTCGACTAGTTTCAAGCCATGCTAGAGGCTCATATTCGACGCGGCGAGTGTTTCGGAATTCTGTTCATGAATATGAGAGCCTTTAGCATGACTTGAAACTAGTTGAGTTCGTCGACTTGCGACCATTCAACAAGCCAACAAGGCCCGTCTTTTTCTTTTATCTTTTCCTAAAAACTCCACTCACCTTAGAACTACTCGACTGATCCAATATATTACAGCTCACAATATGTAGAGTGCCAGATCTCATCACTATCACTGTGTTTACTGACGAGCAGTGCAGGGTCAGTTCCCGGAGCCGGCACTCTTCTGACAACATGAGGAGACAGGAACGCATGTCTGATGCTTGGAGAGTCGCGCCTGAAGAATAATAAAGCAAATTAGAGTTAAAGTGATTCAATAGAAAATTGTCTCTAATGAAGATTATGATAGGGTTATCCTGTCATTATTAGCTGTTTCGTATTAAGATCTTTTCAGTTCTTTTCGAATCGCGCGTAGACCTACAACAGTTTTCAGTTAGTCACAGAAAAATTTGAATGAGACACGTTGTTTTTTTTTTCTTTTTTATATTTGATTCGCCGACGTTTGCCCCCTGTCTCGCCTGGTGGTAAGCTATGATGCGGTCTCCGATGGAGCGTGTATCCCATAAACAACCTCTGGCCTTGAAGACGCCCAGATTATACGCCCTTCAGGCAATACAGACTGGCAAAGAATTCCACTCCTTAGCAGTACGCACGAGGAAGCTTGATGCTAAGCGCTTGGTGCGTGTAGGTGGGACATCTACCATGAATCGGTGAAGCTTAGCCGATTATCTTGTGGTACGATGATGGAAAGGGCTAGGGGAATCAAGTTGTGCAATTCGTGCATATGTAGTGGCCCAGCCACTGTGCTAACTAACCATACAGTCTTTTATAAAGCCGGAAGACGTCCTCTGGACAAAGGCCTCCCCCTTCGTCCCCCACGTTGAATGACAACTCGCCACCTGCATCCACTCGCCACCTGCATCCACTCGCCACCTGCATCCACTGGCTCCCCGCAACTCTGGCGATATCGTCGGTCCACCTGGCGGAAAGCCTGCCAGGTCGTCCGGTCCGTGGTCTCCACTTAAGAACTTCCCTGGCCCATCTACCGTCAGTCCTTCGAGCGACGTGGCCTGCCCATTGCCACTTCAGTCTGCAGATTTTGCGAGCTATGTCGGTAACTCTAATTCTTTGGCGAATTTCCATATTTCGGATTTTGTCGCGCAATGAAACTTCGAGCATAGCTCTCTCCCTCGCATGCTGAGCGACTTTGAGTTGTCAATCAGTCATTATCGCCTGTAATTTCTACAGATCACCCTTCGATACAAAGCGAAAAGAAAACTGGCCATTCGGTCTGGCCAGTCACATGAGGGCACACGACAGGAGATAGCTATTAAGGGTCGCCGTTACCGAAATCGGTAAGGAGGACTATATATATAAAAAAACTAGGAACATACAAATACCAAATAATTAGTACATAGCAAAAAAGTACAGACATACCTTTAAAACTAGTCACATTAATATTAGCCAGCGGTAACTCAGGCAGCATCAGTTCATGTCCACACAGGACTAGCTCGTGGGGCTCCAACTGCAGTGCGTCCTCCACTGACGTCAGTACGCTTAGTCGGAAGTCATTGGTGACGTGTGATATTAGAAACTTGGATATCTCACTGAATTCGAAGATTGAACCGCCTTGCCATACTGCTACAACCTGGAATTAGGTAGTTTCCAGGGTATCAAAATTAAAAGTCTAATTAGTTCGTCAGTTAGATAATGAAAAAATATTAGACACGTATTTTTTTATTTTTTCGTATTGCAATAGTTAGATAAAATGGCCTGAGTTTAGGAGTGGAAGGTCGTTACGTCATAACGTGCTACAAAATGTGAAACACTGTGACGTCATACGATATTTCAAAATAATATATCGTCCAAAGTATTTAATTTTGTGAGAAAAGAAAAAATACGTGTTTAAAGGTATAAATTAATGTACGCGACGGACATTAAAATAAAATCTAGGAAACGACCCTATTATGAAAGTATATTTAAAGTAAACTAATGTTTATTGGCTATTTTAGTTTGCGAAGTATTTCAGGAACCTACGAAAAAAGGAAATAGTTCTTTTCTGCTAACTATACAGGGAGGTGGTGTAGTGGTACTGCAAAGAAAATTATCACTAGCAGGCGCTTCAACATCTCCACCTTCACCGAGCGCCATCTACACGAACAGGCAGGTTCTCAAGTATAGCATCTTACTTACAATCACTATCACTATCCTTATCCTTACTATCCTTACTAATATTATAAATCAGAAAGTGAGTTTGTTTGTTTGTTCCGCTTTCACGCCAAAACTACTAAACCGATTGCTTTGAATTTTTGCAGACGTAAAGTTATAAGTTTGGATCAAATAATAGGGTACTTTTTATCCCGGAAAAATATGATATTCTAGAGGGAAAACGAAATTATTGGTATAGATGGCGCTGTGTGTATTGGTATATGTCACATAGGCTACTTTTTATCCTTTTGTGACGCGAGCGAAGCCGCGGGTAAAAGCTAGTATAGTATAAAACAAAGTCGCTATCCAAAGTCTGTGAGTTCCTATGTATACTTAGATCTTTACTACGCAACAGATTTTGGTGCGGTTTTTTTAATAGATAGAGGGGGTCTTAATGGAGGTTTATATGTATAATACATACGTTTTGTACTCGTGCGAAGCCAGGGCGGGTCGCTAGTATTTATTATGTTAGAAATCGAAACCAGATGTTAATACAAATATTTTTATTAGAAGCCCAATTTACACCGGTACCCTAAATATATGGACCCTAGACAACATAATTACTTAAATATAGTTATTTATAATAATTGTTTTCTTTTTTTTCCTTTTCATTTTTCATATGGTGTTATACTCATACTAATTTATTTTTAAGCTGTAAATATTTAACGTTACTTTTTATTATATAATATATATTTTACTCATAGATATTATTAGTATTGTACAGTAATTAAACAAAGAAAATAAAAGAAGACCTTAAAATGATTTTAACTGTAACAGAAGATTGTTAAAACAGTGGTGGATAAAAGTCAACTTTTTAATATTGACTTTGCTTATGATAGACAGAGATCCGTTCAAAACATACTATTCTAGACAAACTATTCAGAGTACGAATTTGTTTTATGTTTAAAGTATTCGAAACGAGTACGCGTTCGGCGCTCTGATTGGCCGATGCCAATGAACCAACCAATCACAGCGCCGAACGCGTACTCGAAAACTCGTACTAATCGTTGATTTAACTACTTACATTCTTTTTACTTTTATTCCTCTGCCATTTAGACCGCTCCCTCGCCAGATACTGTTCCCGAATCAATGAGTTTTCATACAGCGTCCACTTCGACATCAACCCGTCGAGTCGCGCGTTCATTTCCGCGCAGAGCGATATGTAGTTAGGCGGTAGAAGTGAATCTGAAAAATGTTTATTAATGCTTATAGAGTAAAGTTGGGTAACCAATTATTTTTTTTCTTTTTCTTAAACATTGCCCCACGTTAGGATTTTCTCCTGTGTCGTGGGTGCGTTTACAAACATACAAGTTCATATATACAATGACACCCAGACCCGAAACAACAATTCGTGGTTCAACACACGTTGCACGGCAGCCGGTTGCCCAGCCACCGCACCGACCGTGCAGTCAAGTAAAGCTTTTCTCATTATTTTCACGTGAGTTACCCGCAATTTTTAGTTAGATAATTTAGTATGTCTCACGATAGTTATTATAAACACACAACTATACTTTCAAATTTATATGTAGAATATGATATCGAGGGGTAACGGACTATTTGGTTTAAGGCATTGGCTGCCAATAAAAAACTGTTGAAGGCAAATCCTCCGCTGATGTCGGTCACCGGTGACTGCCATGGCGTTTAACGTGTTAAGCGACATTTTGGGCGATATTGAGTTATATATATATTCGGAATCAGCGAAGTTTTCTCCGTCGAATATATATAATAACTCAATATCGCCCAAAATGTCTCTTAAACCAAATAGCCCGTTACCCCTCGATATGTTAAATTATATACATCCAAACACACCAACAAAACAAGGAGCCCATTCCATTTTTTTTTAACGTTGCCCCACACTAGGATTTTCTCCTGTGTCGTGCGTTTACAAACATACAAGTTCACATACACAATGACACCCAGACCCGAAACAACAAAGTGTTGTTCCGTGCGGGAATCGAACCCGCGACACGTTGCACGGCAGCCGGTTGCCTAGCCACGCACCAACCGTGCAATCAAATTAGAAATAATCCCTTAAAATCCCCTTACCATCATCACTAGCCACATCCCCTTCACACAGTGAAGAGTCCATCTGCTTCAGTTTCTCGTGAGCATCTATAGCACTGTTCCTCAGCAACGTAATGGACCGAGCCACACAGTTTGGTATGGTACCGTTGTGCATATCTGACCAGAGCTGCATGCGTTCCTCTATCGTGTTTGATAGTAGCACTTCTGAGTCGTCCCAAGGCATCCAAATGTCGTTGTAGTAGAATCTGGAAGGTGATAAAATGGTAGTAACTTCACACTCATCACTCACTCATTATATTATGAGTAGTCAGACAATTTGTAAAGGAAGCCAAAAATAACTATGACAGTCATGAAAGCTACTGAGCAGGTTTTAAGTATGACTATGACAGTCTATGACAGTCATTAAGGTTACTGGGCAGCTTTTAAATGTGACTATGACAATCAATTAGGTTACTGAGCAACATTTAAGTATCATTATGACAGTCTATGATAGTCATTAAGGCTACTGAGCAGCTTTTAAGTATGTAAAAATATGTCTACCCCAGAATGAGGCAAGCATAAAATTAAATGAGCTGTTAGCAAATATCAGATGCGACCTGACATTCAGCCAAAACCAACCACAAAACCTTATAAGGCCAGGAAACAGAAATATTTGCTCACCCGGAGGTTAAGACGCCCGCTTCTTATGCATGAGGTTGCGGGTTCGAAACCTACCAACGGCAAGTACCAATGTGATCTTTCTGAGTTATATGCACTTTCTGAGACTATTTAGACACCACTGACAAACAGTGAAAAAAAACATCGTGGGGAAACTGGGACTTATAATATCTAATTATAAGTTTGAAATCACCCACCCGCATTGAGCAAGCGTGGTGATTAATGCTCAAATCTTCTCCATGTGAGAGGAAGCTGTGCTGTGTGAAGCTGCAGTCGGCATTTATAGGCTGTTAATGAAATGAAATAATTCCATAACCTGACAACGCTGTAATAGAACCTACTATAGATAAATCCTACTATAGATTAATAACGAATATTTCCAACTACATACCTCAACAAATCAATAAACTCCGCAGTAGCAGCAACATTGATACACTGTTCTCGTTGCTTCATCGTAGGCCAGAGCTCGATCAATGGTACATCTACTATGTCTTCAGGTAGTGATACAGTCTCATGTTGCACACTGAGCACATCCACACAAGCTGAGAGGTTCTCAAAGTCCACTGATGTCACTGTCACATAGGCTATGCAGGGGAATCTTACTTCTGTGGAATAGTGATTAAGAATTTGTGTGTTAATTAAAGTACTTAAAAGACATCAAAGCAGTGGCAACATAATATCACACTTTTTATCCCTGAAGGGGTAAGTAGAGATGAACATTACAGCATTTAATACCACTGCACAATGTAACACCCACTTTTCACTATTTATGTTATGAGTCCTGCGTAATAGGGGTGAGCCTTTTGTCTTAATTATACCGGGCACAATTTGAGACTCCGTGCTACTACTGAGAATTTTTCAAAAACGCAGTAATACTTTGCCCGACTTGGGCATCGAACCCGAGACCCCTTGCCCGATAGTCGCACTTGCAACCACAGTCAAGTGCTTTAGGAATAAAAAACTCAAGATATGATAGGCAGTGGTGGTTCAGTGGTTCCTGTGTACTTAAATGACTATGAATGTATTTTTTTTTGTTTTCTAAAATTACTAGCAGTCCGTCCCGGCTTCGCACGGGGGGTAGAATTTTTTTTTTTTCAAAATGAAATGTAGCCTATGTTACTCGGGGATAATGTAGCTTTCCAGAGGTGAAAGAATTTTTGAAATCGGTCCAGTAGTTTCGGAGCCTATTCATTACAAACATATCTACAAACATACAATACAATAGGTACAAATCTTTCCTCTTTATAATATTAGTATAGATATAAATTCTATTAAACCTACTATCTTCTATATAAATTAGGTAGTATGTTTCAAAGCAAAACTTAGACTCGCTATATTGCACTATAATTATGTCAATCATTGAAACATCTGTATACAAGCTGGTATATACTAATTAAGTTTAAACAAAACTTACCAAACTTCTTACAGAAATCCTTGGATAGTTTCCATAGAGCATCCCAGCCAACTGGTTCCACCAGTAACTCTGCTTGCATGCTCCATTGTTCCCGAGTAGTGCCACGACCAGAGCTAAACACCTTCAGCAACTCTTGCAGGATCTCATTGTCGCTGCGTGAAAATGTATGTACTGATGGCATCTAGAAGTACACAACGGAGTTCTTAAAAGAAATATGCAACTTCTACTATTCCTTGAATGGTAAATATCTCTCGCGAATGTAATAGGCATTGCCCAACGGTAAGTGTCATGCACATATAGCTTCAAACAACATGAGTTTTTCTTGAGAATTCTTAACATTTTTTTTACTAAAACGACTACGACGACCATGGACTAGTTGTTCCGTGACGACGACAATTTCAATGTACCTATATCATATCAAATATAAACAATTTATTTATCAAGGATCACAATTGGCAAAATCGTATCTAAATAAAATACATCGAAAGTATTCCAAACTCGTTCTGAACTGATTGCTTACTTTTACAAATAAAAAGTCTATTAAAGACACAATATTACTCTAGACCAATCATTGCTCTAGACTATGTGTTTATATTGAAGAACACGATGTTTGGGCGTAAAACAGCAAATTAACGTTGAACCCTTTTTCAAAATAACTGATGGAATGAGTCATTCATAAAAATACACTATTTTGTACCAACTACGAAATAACTACAATAATGAAGTATTAAATAAACTTATTTACCTTTAACTAAGATATTTTGCAACTGTGAAATGTTTTGAATATGTTGTTATTATTTTATTTGAATTTCAGTTTCTTTTTCACGACCGCTACACAAAAAAGTTTCGAAAATTCAAACCGATTTGACTTTGACAGTTTGACGTAACTTTGTTTTCTGCCATACAAAAATGTCGTTCTACGCAGACAATTTAGCATTAAAAAACATGTATCTCAACATTTTGGACTTTACAAAGGAAGTATTTCATGTTTGATGGCTTTTTTAATATTTCTTGTAGAAGAAACATTAATATGAATATATTTATTTTTGTATAGTTCAATAAAAAATACTTAAAATATTAAACGAAGTTGCTTATTACCTTCATTAAATGAAACGTTGACACAAGCGTTTCAGAACAAGTAAAACAAAAATGTTCTAATTTTAAACATAAAAATACTTCCAACAAACCTTTTTTCAGATTCAGCGTCCCTGTTGCTAATAGTGTTCAGCTCCTTATGGTTCTTGATTATTTAATCGGACTAATCCGTGCAGCCTTAGTTAAGGTCATCAGTCAGAGCGTCCAAATGATCGCTGATACTATGATAATTATCTTCTGTGACCAATTAACCATTAGTCGGTTCAGCATCCAACTAATGGTCACTGGATCTGTACTGAATCAATTTTTATTTTCTTACCTACATAACATAGTAACCGCTGTACTGACTGTACAGTACAAACGGAACCGCAGATAGTAACAGTAGGTATAGTTTAACTGTGTTCTAGATAAATAAAATAACGAGCAATAAACGCAATATAGTGTGTGACATGTTTAGGTCATGGTGAATGGCTTGACCCTTGCATGGTCAGCTTTATTATAGTACCTAATGCTTTAAGAATATTAAAAAGCGTATTTATGATTCATTCATAATTTAAAATTTGTAGGAACCGCATGTCACATCAACAGCCTATAAGTGGACACTGCTGACCAAGACCTTGACGCTTGCTCAATGCGGGTTGGCGATTTCAAACATAAAATTCGAAATTATAAGCCCAATCATCCGTCACCGTTTATTGGTGATATATATAATCTTAAAAATGACGTATTATAACTCGGAATAGTCACATGGCTACTTTGTTATTGGTAAGTTTCGAACGCTTCGAGCCACTCTCAAGCATGAGAAACAGGCGTTTTAAACTTTTGGAATACCACGACATTAAAAAGGTTGTGTAACATACTTTTTTTTATTTCGGATTGGGTAACAGAACTGCACATAATTATATTATATAACAATAATAATGTCTTTTTTTTGGGATAAGCCTGTAAATGACGAGCAGACGGATCATCTGATTTCTGAAGGTAATGTTGAGAATTTAGGGATTGGGGAGATGGGGAAGGGTGGGGGCGGGGGGGTTCCACGCACGGTTTTCTGTGAGGCCGTGGTATCATTCCGGTTGAGTCGGCCCAATCGTGCCGAAGCATGGCTCTCCCATACTTAAATGCCTTTTCATCAGTTATCCAAAATTATGATATCCACGTACTGGGAAGATGGAGAGCCAACCGCCATTGGACACTGACCAAACCTGGGAATCGAGGCCAATTTTTTTTAAATAGTATTTTATTGATATATTGTATAAAACTTAGGTAATATTTAATCAGTATTTTAATGAATTATGAAACCATACACATAAAGCATTAATCGTTTCCAATTATGATTAGTACTAGAAATTTACATTACGCAAAAATCTTGGCTTTTATAAGACCTTCGCGAGTTCATTTTGATCAGAGCGGCCCTGAAGCTTCAGTTACAGATCGTTACCTATAGATGATCTAACAATGGCACGGGCGTGACATGGTAAGCACAAAAGATTAAAAGACATAATATTTTGTCGACCTCTCCTTGAGCAAGGTACGGGGTAAGTACATTATTTTGAGGGAGTAATTCCTATTTTAGGGCCCGGTTTGAAACCTACAAACAGCAAGTACCAAAGTGACTTTTGCCGAGCTACATATAGGTATGTACTTTCTAAGATTATCTAGACACCACTGACAAACAGTGAAGGAAAACATCGTGAGGAAACCTTTTTTTTAAATCATCCAATGACTTTTCCCGCCTTGGGTTAGGCGAGAAGGACTCAGACTCTTACTGACTAAAAGCCACCTCGTTCCTACTCCTACTCTTCGAGCCGGAGCCCCGGCAACCCGTTAGGACTTCCGCGGCTCCGTATGTCGCGCAGAAACCTGGACTTAAAATTTCTAATTATAAGTTTGAAATCGCTAACCTACATTGAGCAAGCGTAGTGATTAATACTCAAACCTGTTCCGTGTGATAAGAAGCCTTTGGTCAGCAGTGGTCACTTATAAGTGTGTGATGTGTAATAACCCTAGTTTGCTACCAACTGTTGCACGTTGAATAATGGGCGTGCATTAATGTTTGAGTATGTAACTGTATGTAACCTCGCACATCGTAACCACAAACGCATTTTTACATTGTAATATGTTCACGTCACGTTAAGGCTTTTCGTACCTAATGTGTTTATAAGAGGAGATTTTTATCTAAAGTACGCCAGTTTCTAGTCAACATACGCATTATCATAAGTACGTGAGACACATTAAATATTGGTAGGTAGTACAGCTACGTGACTGCGGTCATTTTCGAGGTTTTGTAATAAAGTAAGTATGAATACAAAGTTGTTTGATGTTGGAGAAATCCCCGAAAATACCTATGTATATATATAATCATACCTATGTAGGTAGATAGGTATCTTTGTTCTATATTTGTTCTACGTGTAAGATCCATGCTTCGCCACGGAAGAGTTGGCTTGACCGGAGTGATACCTCGGCCTCACAGAAAACCGACGTGAAACAATGGTTGCTTTTCCCCGTGTGATTGAGGCTTAATCCTTCTCTCATCCCCAAACTGGTCGGCAAAGTACCATTTTTGTGGAGTCCATGATGGGCGGCGCAGGTTGCCTACCATCAGTTTTGCGTTTGCTGCCCTACACCAAAAAAAAAAACAATCGACGAATAATCGGAAAACGAGCAGCAGTAGCAGCATTTTTTCGGTGATCTAAAATCAATCTCCTAGCCCACTGTCTTGTGTGAGGATTATGGCAAATCCTGCTGACGGTATGTGTTTGGTAGTGGGCATTTTATGGCTGCTGATGAAGATAGTATTACTCCGATTAAGCCGGCGAATTGCCCTGTGCCGAAGCATGGTTCTCCCGCACGTCGTAGTTTTAGAACATGACCGTCTGATTAGGTTGACCGTGTCATATCGTCTTCCAGCTTATGCCAGCAGTTTCGCCCACGTTCCCGTGAGACAAAAAGTAGCCTATGTGTTATACCAGACCATAATCTATACCCTTTTTTTTAAGGGGGGAAAACCATCCAATGACTTCTCACACCCGAGTGAGGCGGGAGGGAGTGTTATGACTCTTATTGACTAAAAACCACCCCGTTCCTACTCCTGCCCTTCGAGCAGGAGCCCCGGCAACCCGTTAAGTCTTCTGTGGCTCCGTATCGGCATCAGCTCCGTTGGGCCCCATCTGTGGTGGTCTGATGGCTCCTTGAGGCACAATAAGGCACCCTTCAGCAGTTTTGACGTAAAAGTAGCAAATAAACAAACGTTACAAACTTTGACATTTACAATAGGTTTGTATAACAGATTCAAAACTTTTTACCTCACCCTAGTAGGTAGGCTGACTCAATGAGCCGTCAGATCACCCCCAAGGTTACCTTGGGACTCTTGCTCGAAGCCTCTGTAGGAGTAGGAACGAAGTCGTTTAATCGTCAGTCTGTAAGAGCCTAAAACTCCCTTACGCCTCACCTAAGCTGGGAGGAGCAACTTGATGGTTATCACCCCTCAAAAACAAAACCATGGGAAGCTGGAGAAGTATTCTCATGATTACCAAGCCTTTTTAAACGGTTTTTTTAGCTTGACCCATTTATTTGTTTGAATCAAAATTCAGTTGGAGTTTTACCTCCTTCCTGATGACGACAGATCGATCTGATATTTTTATTTTTCCTCAACCAAATCTTCGTATGTCGCCTTAGAAAATCCCCATACACTACAAACAGTACCATGCTCTCCTACTGTTATTAAAATGCACATTATGAAGTAAACGCTACCGTAGTCAGACAAGAGCTTCTCGAGTATACATACATTTATTTGTATTCAAGACTATATAGTGCGGAAAATTTTAATCTAAGTGTACATAAACTATTTAAAAAAAAATTATATAGCTAAAAATAAAACTAGTAATACAATAAAAGTATTGCAGTTTAATAATCTGTGGCATAATTTTGAATTCATCTTAAAAAGTTTATTACGCGCAAAAATTTTCTTAATCGGAGCACAGTTTAAAAATAACTTTTTTTAATTAAAAAGTGTAGATATTTATCAAGTAAATAAATGTTATTGTTGTTGTTCAGGTCTATGTGTTGATGCAATAAATTAAGAATGAACAGAAGTCATTAAAATGGCATAGGTAGTATAATTAAAGTGTTAGTGTTGGAATTGTGTAATCAAGGGTGACAATTTTAAAAGTGAGTATTTTCTTCATCATAATATGGTTTTTTAAACTACTGTCCTCCTGCTTGTTATTAGAGAAAGGTGTCGGTTTAAAGACGATGTAGGGACATGGATTGAAAAGGCAATGTTACGATGGTTTGGACATGTAGAAAGAATGGATGAAATCAGATACAAAAGAATTACATATGAATGGGATCATAATTTTATTGGACACGGACCGCCCTCTACCAGTCGGTAGAGGGCGCCCTAGACAGACATAATCATATCGACCAGATTGGCGATATACGTATATCAAAGAAGGGCCAAAAAGTACCCTTATGCGATGAGCATGCATGAAAAGACTGATGACTATGTTGATGAAGCGAAAGAGGTATGTAAGAATCGTAGCAATTGGCGTTCCCTAGTAGGTAGGCAGAGGCCTACCCCCATTGGAAACAGGTGTGAGTATGTATGACCATAAATCAATCATCCCATTCCGACTCTTACCCTGTGATTAGCCCACAGTGTATGGCCATGCAGCCTAGCCCGCGAATCCAGCAGGAGAGATTACCTACTTACTGGGAGTACCTATCATCTTTCTATTCTTATCCCAGCTCTTAATTGACATCGCCACAATAATTAGATCATTTGTTCATTCCCATCAGACGTCATCAACGTGAAATCCATCCGATTTGTCCTTTTCCATAACATTTGGCAGACAGGATTTTCCGAAAACCTCCGTATATTTTTCTTTCAGTAACCAGCCATGTTCTGGCTAACCATCACCCTGATCATCACAGCCGGATTCTTAGGTTGGCAGTACTGGAGATGGAGACACAGACGTATGCTGAAACTTGCAGCGAGATTGCCTGGTCCACCAGCATTGCCCATACTTGGGAATGCCCTCAGTTTCATGTTCAATCCTGGAGGTAAGTTGGTCTTTGATTTCTGATTAAAAGATCCACGGTCTCACAGAAAAGTGGCTGCTTGATGAAACTACCCTCAAAGATGGACAATGTACAAGGAACTCTTTTAGTGTTGCGAATATCACTTACGGTACTAGTTTCGTCCATCTACTCTTTAACCATTTGCCTCATAAGCCTTCTTTTTTTGAACACTTTGAAATTAAAACCAGGGTCTCTGACAGTCATAACGCTTATTTGAAAGCCTCAGAAATAGCAGAGCGTTGTGGAAGTCAGATAGTATCGTATACATGTTAAACATTGACCATAAGCCTTCAAAAATTATCGTGGAGAACCTAACGGGTTACCGGGGCTCCGGCTCGACGTGCAGGAGAAGGAATGGTTTTTAGTCAGTAAAATCTGACACTCCCTCCCGCCTCACACACGCGGGAGCAGTCATTCGATGATTTTTCCCCCTGAATAATAAGGCTTCAAAACTTAAAAAAGCCTTTGTAAATTCCTTTTGTATTTGATTACTTTAATTTGCCTACCTTGCTTCCTACTCCTTTAGAGGAAAAGGCCGAGTGTTATATCAGTACCCAATGATAGTCATTACATAGTAATTGCAAGTAAATCATAATGATTATAAGTCGAATAAAATAATATATCATTTTATCTGACCACGGAGCCCGGAGGTTAATAATTACGGACAATTTTAACGCTAATTCTAGAGCGAAAATTAAGATAATCATAATTATTCTGTGGTGGGCAAACAAGAATATCACAATAATTACTATATGCCATGGTACGAGTAAAGAGTAAAGAACTGGCCCATTGCTGGTCAAAGGTCTTTTTTATGGAATAAAACACTAAACGAGTAGCCGAATCCACTGATGGTAAGCAACCGGCGCCGCCCATGAACACCCAAAACACCACCACCGTTACAAGTACGTTACTTTTTGCGGATTAGCAATTTGAGGGTGGTTGGGGATTCCGGGACTGGGGAGATTGGGGAAGACGAAACACAACGCAAGCGTTGTTCCACGTCGGTTTTCTGTGAGGCCGTAGTATCACTTCGGTCGAGGCGGCCCATTCGTGCCGAAGCATGGCTCTTCCACACTTTTTTATTGACACGGAAAATGGATGCGCATTATTAACCATAACCCTCGCTCAATTTGCAGTAGTGATTTCAAACAGGTCTCCTCATAATCCTCATCTTTCATAGTTTTCTAGATAATTCACAATTCACATAAATGAAGCCAAGGTTTCGATGAAGATTGCCTAGGGAATTATCAGTTACAGTTATCGAAAAGAAATAAACAATACTACTGTCGGACAAAAATGTACAAACAAAGAATTTCAAGCATGGCCCATTTTGATGACAAATCGCAGGAAATTGTCAAACTAACCAAGATTTCTATTGACATTAATAATACCTATACTTAACGTGATGATGTCACGTCTTCTCATCTCCGAAGGGGTAGGTAGAGGTACACTGTGTGTCTGTAACCCATTTAACACAAGTTGTATTATGACATAACGTAGTGCCTTTTTTAAGGGGGGAAAATCATCGAATGACTTTTCCCACCTGGGTGAGTGTGAGTGGCACACTCTTACTGACTAAAAACCATCCCGTTCCTACTCCTGCACTTCGAGCTGGAGCCCCGGTAACCCGTTAGGTTCTCCGCGGCTCCGTATCGGCATCAGCCCTATTGGGCACTGTCCGTGGTGGTCTGATGGCTCTTAGAGGTGCGCGCGGAACGCGACGCGCCGTACGCTCGAGTCTGGTTCTGGTCGGGCGGGGAGACACCAATGACGAATATTTAAAACTTTTAATATTACTACTCAATGAATTAATACATATGCTTTACATTAAGCTAAAGCGAAGATATCAAAGCAGAAAATACACAATGACAATGTTACACGGTACATATTAAGTTTCCACAATATAACTTTATCATTATAAGTACTTATGAATATGTTATATGCGTCAGTTAATAATTGTCACATAGCATAGGTATCAAGATGCCGTTAAACAATTAAATAACAATAATATTGCCAGTAGGCTGCAAAACCGGAAAATCCTTGCAAATTAAATAATCTTAGTAATTTACCCACATATTGCGTTATAAATCTTGGATTTTCTCGTAATAAACCGGTTTTTTATAGTACAACAATATGACGCCATTTTTTTAATTTTCCCTCCGTAATTGGACATTTTGCGTTTGGTTTATGCTTGTAGTCTTAAAGTGAAACTTGTTGCAATAAAATTCAAGTTTTTTTTTCAGGTAAATTGTTATTTATGTCTTAGTTATAGTGTGCTTTATATCATGTTATGTCAATAATGCAATTTAATGATTTAATATGTTTTGTAAATTATTTCCGTATGTAGTTAGGTACTTTAAAAAATCTACATAGATATCGTGTAGTAGTACTTATATCTACAAGTTTGTTATTTGCCTATTATTTACTTGTGCAAGTCATTCACGTCTTTACTTTGAATGTTTGAAAATTAATTAATAAAGTTAGTACCTTACCTACCTACCTACCAATATCAGAGCAATTGTAGCGCCTGGTTGTTTAAAATTAGCAATCAACGATGCGTCTAATTAGTGTTAAATAAATCGTAGGGTCTGTGGTCTATTCTATGCTTTCTATGTGTATTACTTTAGCTAGCTAGGTCATATTCTTCTTTCACATAAAATAGGTACTTGGGTTAATAAATGTCCCATTTTCTGTTATCCCGCAGAGGGTATCAAATGACATTACCTGCTTCTTGATTTCTTTATCATTTCTCACTTTGCTGATTCAACTCAGTTTTGAAATTAATCCTTTACCTATAACTAATCTACTTGTTACATAATTGGCAAGTATTAAAGGCTTCAACTAACAAAACAATGAAGGAACCATAACTGACTTGTTGATCTTGATAACCGTCGTAATTTCAACCTTATTGTGCTTAGAGCAGCTTGAAAATTATGTAAGTAATAAATTATGACCCATTTGTTCCACTTTGTCACGCGAACTTATTAGTTGAAACCAGATTATGTCCATATCTTGTTTATAAACATGATTATTCTCACTGCCTCGTTGGCTGACTGGTCGCGAGTGCGACTGCCGGACAAGGGGTCTCGGGTTCGATTCCCGGGTCGAGCAAAGTATTACTGGGTTTTTAAAAAAATCTCAGTAGTAGCACGGAGTCTGGAATTGTGCTCGGTATATAGCAATAGGCTCACCCCCTATTACATGGGACTCATAACACCAATAGTGAAAAGTGGGTGTTACATTGTACAGTGGCATAATGTGCACCTCTGCCTACCCTTTCGGGGATAAAAGGCGTGATGTTATGTTATTATTCTCAATTAACAAATAACTACTTAATAATAATAAGGTACTAAGCCCAAAGGGCACCTTCAGGCGAGGTGACGGGCATTAGTGACCCCGCGGACTACCATCATTGCGAGTGCTCCAGGTAGAAGTTACCATTATTACCGTTATTACCTTATTCTACGGCTTGCCTTATTTGGCTGGCTGGGGTAAATGATGACAAGGAACAGGTCTTCCACCTCTGGCTTGCCTTCATTGGCCGTCCAGAGTGGAGTCGCGAGAGCAGTGATCCTGCTTGGAGGGTAAGAAACTATTCGTAAGTCACGAGTGGGCCAGGGATGCAGGAGGCTTCGGCTGGAGCAGATGATCTGAGTAGAAAGTGGTGGTGGTTTCTTAACCCTTCAGCCACTCACATTCTCGTTGCCCCTCTGTTGCTATATCTAGCAATTATTCCCGGGGCCCGGTCGGTGAGTTGGCGACTCCATTATACATTGTACAGTGGCATTAAGTGCCGTAATGTGCACCTCTGCCTGATGTTATGTTTAACATCACGCCTTTTATCCTCGAAGGGAATATTATATATATTTTTAACAAAAAATAACGTCTTGATTTCCAGAGTTCCTGAACAAAGTCGACGTATTCATGGAGAAGTATGGTGAAGTCTTCAGGTTCTGGCTGGGTCCAGAACTCAATATTGTTGTGAAAAACCCAACAGATATACGTGTAAGTAGACACTCTTATGTACCACTATTTAATAGTATTGTGTACGTTAAAGGTTACATGGTTATGTAAATAAATACTTTCTGAAAAATATTTTTCAGTATACAGGGTGACTTGTAGCTCGACGTATTCCGATTTAGAGAATACACACAGCGCCATCTATACCAATAATTTCATTTTCCCTCGGGAATATCAATTTTTCCGGGATAAAAGCCCTATTTAAACCCTATTATTTAATCCAGACTTCTAACTTTACGTCTGCAAAATTTCAAAGCAATCGGTGTAGTAATTACGGCGTGAAAGCGGAACAAACAAACTCACTTTCTGATTTATTATATTAGTAAGGATAGGCTACTTTTTATCCTTCTGTGGCGCGAGCGAAGCCGCGGGTAAAAGCTAGTATATAGATAAATTGATATTTTATAAATGTTGCCGAGATATCAAAAGTGCCGTGACATTTTTGTTAAGGACAAGTTTGATCCGAGGTTTTGTTTGTTTTGTAATAGGTATAAGTAGTTATAAGTATAGTTAGTGTATAGGTACGTATGAATATCGAGCGCTATTCCCGCCGTCAGACAGCCAAAGCAGTTTGGTGGGTTTATTTATTGTATTATTTAGGTATTAGGTAGGTATTAGGTATTATAAAATTATTTTTATAATACCGACTGCCTCGTTGGCCGAGTGGTCGCAAGTGCGCCTGCTGGTCAAGGAGTCTCGTGTTCGATTCCCGGGTTGGGCAAAGTACTACTGGGTTTTTATAAATTCTCAGTAGTAGCACGGAGTCTGGAATTGTGCCCGGTATATGGCAATAGGCTCACCCCCTATTACATGGGACTCACAACATAAATAGTGAAAAGTTGGTGTTACATTGTACAGTGGCATAATGTACACCTCTGCCTACCTCTTCGGGGATAAAAGGCGTGATGTTATATGTTATGTGTATAAAATTATTAAAAACCTTCCACGTCATTGAAATGCACTCGAGCTCCCGCGGCCAAGGCGGATGACGTGGCAATTGGCATACTGCGGTAGGGAACGGCATACCAAGAATTCCGGCAGTCCGGCGCTCGTTACAACGGGGGTAAAGAAGCGGGGTAGGGGGTAGGTAGGGATTGTTTTGGCGTGGCATACGGCAAAACCCCTTGTCCTTGCCATGCAGATCAGTTTTATGTTGAAGTTTATGACAAGACTACGCTGCGTAGGCTCATATTGTCATAAAACTTGACAATCCACATGACATCAAGTTTATTAAACAAACGTATTCGTGTTAGTTTATTGCTAACAGTATCATATAATAGGAATATGTAATAGGAAGCTCGCGATTATGGCGCAGAAAAATCTTGTGTAATTATAATTTATAACTGCATAACTGCATTTAATTACGTAGGTGAAGAATTAATCTATAAACTTGTTGCCTGCGACGTTTTCATCAACTACGTCATTTTTTAATAAAGCGAGGCAACCGACTTCGCAGCATGTACTAGCCATTTTGTGTGATCCACAAATTGCTGTTCCGGGTCTGGGTGCCATGTATATGTGAACTTGTATGTTTGTAAATGTACCTACGAGACAGGAGAATATTGTTTTGTGGTGCAACGATAAAAAAAGCAACAGTCCGTTAGGGGTCCGAATTTTCAGGGCCCCAGTGACCCCAGTGTAGTCTAAGACGGCCCTGAGAAGAAGATAATTTGTTGATATTTCGTTTCATTCCAGGCCTTACTATCCAGTAACAAAGTGAACCAGAAAGGACCATTGTATGAGTTCCTGGTACCTTTCATCGGCTATGGCATTTTATCTGGAGGTAAACCTCTTTACTACTTATCTATAAACTAATTATTGATCAAGAACAAAAAAGAAGTGTGGGAGAGCTTCGGCACGAATGGGCCGGCTCGACCGGAGTGATACCACGGCCTCACAGAAAACTGACGTGAAACAACGCTTGTGTTGTGTTTCGTCGCGTGAGTGAGGTTATCGGAGGCCCAATTACCCTCCCCTTCCCCAATCTCCCCAATCCCTGAACCCCCAACGATCCTTAAACTCCTAAACCCCAAAAGGCCGGTAACGCACTTGTAACGCCTCTGGTGTTCCATGTGTCCATGGGCGACGCCGATTGCTTACCATCAGGTGATCCGTCTGCTAGTTTACCGGCTTATGCCATAAAAAAGAACAGAGGAAATAGGGCCTGAACTTAAAACAGTTGGAAGATGAGGACTAAAGAAGAATTGGATTGGATTGCATGTGATGTGGAATAGAAGGGAGTCAGCGATAAGATGACATCTGATAGGTGAAAGGAGAAGGTTAAATTGAACTCAATTGTCTTAGGAATAAGAAGAGGAGCACCGAGAAAAGACATTTATTTCTGTACTTCGCTTGTTCTTCTGCAACAACTGTTGATGAATTTACCATAAAATGATTTCAGGTCCAATTTGGCGCGCTCACAGAAAAATAGTGACTCCTTCGTACAACAAGAAGTGTGTGGATAACTTCTCTCCAATCTTCAACAGGGAGGCTGAGCAGCTGGCCAGGGTTATCTGCAAGAAAGACCCGAAGAGAAGTTTTGATATCTACAAAGATGTCGTCAGATGTACCACGCAGAGTGTTAACCGTAAGTTTCTTTTTATACCTTCTTGAACATTACATATCTTGGCAGGCGGCGTTCTAGAATGTTAAAGACCAATCATTATGGTGACTTAAAGTATCTGAGTGTATCAGAAATTAATCAATTGTGTTGCTTACAGAAACACTGATGGGACTATCTAAAGAGGATTCCCAAAACCTGTACAGAATGGAAGAGATGTTATGGGCCACGCAAAAGTAAGTTTCCACCAATATTTCTCTTTCAACATCTGTCAGCATTTTGACTAGCTTTCCTTTTTCTAAAGAAAAAGACGTACCCATCCGATTCTTGGTAAAAAGAATTCTATTTAAGTTGTTAATCTCTGGATTGGCTATCGCTTACCATCAGGCGAGATGGTGGTCAAACGTCGACCAATAAAGTATATAAAAAAAACGTAAATAAGCTCTTCAACCTCCACAGAATGTACGGTCTAATCTTCGAGAAGATGACAAAATGGTGGTTACACATACCGATTATTTACTGGCTGCTTGGCAAGAAGAAGCAGCAGGACTACTACGTGAAGTTGATAGATGACTTGATGGAAGACATCGTGAGACGGAGGAGGAAAGCCTTGGAGGTATCCGTGCCTGGTGAGGAGTATATGGGTATCGTGGACAGATACATCCTTTCTGGAGAACTTACCGAGAAGGAGATTCAGAGGGAGACCATGACTCTGTTTACTACGGTAAGTAAAGAAAGAAAAGAAGCATTTATTACGCCACGACACACACGTAGATAAGAATATAGGTACATACAAAAAGATGCCCTTTGTGCGTCGCAGCTAGGGTTGCCAGCTAGGTTGTTTTTTGAAGAAAAATGCGTATAATTTTTTTTTGACTAGGAAATATAAAGTTTTTACCAGAAAAAAAGTAAGTATGTTTCATTTGTTTTTCTTTCTTTCTTTTTACACAATGTCTTCAATAGTGACTTCTGTCATAATAGGGTAGTTTCCTAAATTTTATTTTAATGTCCGTCTGGTACATTAATTTAAAACTTTAGACACGTATTTTTCCTTTTCTCACAAAATTAAATACTTTCGACGATATAATAATTTGAAATATCATGTGACGTCACAGCGTGTCACATTTTGTAGCACGTTATGACGTAACGACTCCTAAACTTATAAAGTATTTTCACATAAGTACTTTATTTGTATGTAAAATTATAAAGTAGAATACGTTATTGTAAAGTATGGTTGGCAACCCTAGTCGCAGCGCAAAAAGCCGGAGCTCAGTTTAATATTGTGGCCCGGGCACGAAGGCTCGAGTCTTATACACCTTTTTTTTGAGGGGGGAAAATCACCCAATGACTTCTCCCGCTCGGGTCAGGGCGAGAGGGAGTGTCAGACTCTTACTGACTAAAAACCACCCCGTTCCTTATCCTGCACTTTGAGCCGGAGCCCCGGTAACCCGTTATGTTCTCCGCGGCTCCGTATCGGTACCAGCCGTATTGGGCCCCATCTGTGGTGGTCTGATGGCTCCTTTTGATGTGGTGTCCCGTCATCCCCATCTGTGATGCATCTGTAGCCAAATGCCATTTAGCGCTTGTCTACATGTAGAATAGAAAACCAAATTATATGGAATTGACGTAAATTTTGACACTTGATAGTGTCATCCCCATACATTTTGATTTCTACTCTCTCTGTAGACAAGCGCTAAAGTAGCGTTTGGCTAAAGGCCATGGTCTGATAGCGCCGTACGCTCGGGCCTATATTTATACACTTATGGTATCGCTGGTCGGAGCACAGCATGATATAAATAATAAAAATAACATAAGAATGAAAACAAAACTAAGTCGTAACTTTGGAGGAGTTTTGTGTTGGTGATGAGTTGATGACGCTTGGAGTCGCGGTGACCTTATTTACATGGCACCTGGGCACCCAAGTGATTGCTAAATACCTACTTGAATCGAAATTATTTATATGATAAGTATTTGAATTCAGTAACGTTACTTTTCAGAGCCAAGAAGCAGCTGCTAAGATGGCATCAGGAGTGATCATGTTCCTAGCTCATTTGCCGGATTGGCAGGTAGTTATACCACTTTATTAACCTTTAACTACTGACGTAGGTGTCTCATAGACGGCGTGTTCACGAATATAAGAATTTTCCAAAAAAACGTCCAAATAATTGTATTGTAGCTAAGATTTTAACATATATTTTTTTAAGTTATGCGAAATATTTATATTTTAAGTTTATAGAATTTGAATCAGAAACCGCTGATTTCATCCGAGAACGTTGTATTTTTTGCACTTCCTTAATAGAATTATAATGGACCGATCAGAATACAAGTAAATATTGTGCAAATCAGTAAATACAAGTAATCCATTTCGATTAATTATTAAGGTGTTTGACATACGTCACGTCACTGTTTATGGTATGAGTAAACCACGTCAGTACTTGAAGGTTAACTGATCTAAGCTAAGATGTAGGTACCTAGTTGAATATACAGGGTGGAATTTTGTAAAGCCACCTGAAAGGGAAATACTCTTAATATCTTAGATACAAAATACACTCAAAGAAAACTTTCCTTTATTTTTTTAAAGAAAGAAAACTGCATACAAAGATTTTTAAAATTCGCTTGCCGCACACGGTAACCGAATCGACTAAAATTACTAAGTTGCATCCGGTACATTCATTGCATCGATTATTAGGGTGAATAAGGATGAAATGTCTCTAACAAACTTCATAAATTTAATGAAAGAAAAACAATGAACGATCGATGCAATAAAAGTACAGAGTGCAAACTTTGACAGATTTTAGTCGGTTCGATTACCGTGTGAAGCGAGCTAATTTTTTTAAATAGTTGGATGCTGTTTTGTTTCTTTTCAAAAATAAAGGAATGTTTTCTTTGAGTAAAATTTTCAATCTTAAGTATTAAGAGTACTTCCCCTTCAAGTGGCATTACGAAATTCCTCCTTGAATATCGCTAATTTGTCGGTGTAATCGACCATTTTTAGGCGATATTGGCAATGACTCAGGGCAAGCGGCCACAGGAAAAACGCCCCACCATTGATATAATAAGGAAGTTTTAGATATTTCTGTGGAATTAAGATCCGTATCATTTGTTAGTTTTAGTGGGAGACATACAAAATATGCATGTTTGTATGAATTATGTGAATAGGGTAGGTACTTTTCTTAATCAAAATTAAATTATTTCGACTGTTCAATACAAAAAAAAAATTACAAAACAATCACACTTTCATAAATTGATTTTATGACTTACTTAATTTTAATATTTTTCCAACAAATTATTAAGAAATACTGTTTGACGCTAAAAAAGCGTGACGTTACAATACACGATCTCGTACAAAATTCATAAAAAAAATCTGTCGTTTTTGACAGTTCGAAAAAAGTATTGAATTTGACTAGTTGGCAAGTACCCAATTGTAACCATTTATCTTTAGAACGGCTTGATAATACGGATAATAAAAATTATGTATTTTTTTAAAGGAAGGCCTTGAATGGTTAATGACATATTCTTAATTTATGCAGCAAAAAAAAAATAAGAATTGAAATAAACGTACAAAATATTAGTTAATACTATCATGGACAGAATTCAACAAAAAATAATACCTTTAGCATATTTTTAGGTACCTACCTAACGGTTAAAAAAATGGCCGGTCGAAACGAAACGAACAAAATTTGCGTTTCCAACATAACTATCATTAATTATTTCCAACATATCTGCCGTATAAATCTCTATTATGTAATCAAAACATCGGAATCGATTCTAGAAGTTACAGGTACACACGAGCTTTACATAACCAGTATAAACTGAACGTTAAATGTGCGGAAAGATGATGCGACGCGAAACTAGGATATACTGGTTTTGTTTAGATTGATGTGTGGGCGTGTGTATCTAAATAAAAAACAAAACAGCTCAAAAAATACTAAAATATATATGACTAGCAGACTAGCAGCCCGTCCCGGCTTCGCACGGGGTAGACAATTATTTATTTTTGGAAATTTGGATTGTTGTAGTGACATAACTACAATAGTTGGACATATGCTACCGCGGAGTTTTTTGTAGACATTTTGTTATTCTTCAATATTGTTGTACATTATTTTGTTCTATCGCTAATAGTTTCGGCAGCGCATTCGACGAAAGACATTTCAAGACTCATTTTTCTACACCGACGGTTACATTGTTCAAATTTTACAAAGGATCCCTAATTTTTTTCAAAATGAAATGTAGTCTATGTCAAATTGGAAGAATGTAGCATTCTATTGGTGAAAGAATTTTTTAAATCGGACCAGTTCTTTTTGATCCTATTCATTACAAACATACAAAAATAGGTACAAACCTTTCGTCTTTATAATATTAAGTATAGATTAATGGTTCGTTACATACATAGAACGCCATAAGTTCAATGTCGTCCTTGCTATTGCACTAGTTTGTGTTAGGTGAGATAACTAACAACAGCCCCACAGCTGACCAAAGGCCTCTACTGGCACGGAGAAGGTTTATGCAAGAAGAGAGAATAGAAGGTTTAAGTTAAGTTTTTGATTTCAAACATTATGATCTCACTTGAAAAGTCATGAGCTGAGTCGGGAGCTGACGAACTAGGGAGCGATTTGGCTGCCAGTGCCTTCCTAGTTCGTATCCTATTCATTCCAATTCCAAATCCAACTGGGAGTCGGGAGCTGACGAACTAGGGAGCGATTTGGTTGCCAGTGCCTTCCTAGTTCCTATGCGATTCATTTCCAATTCCAACTCCAACTGGGAGTCGGGAGCTGACGAACTAAAAGAGCGAACTAGTTCGTTTAGGAGCGGCGAACTGATCTGAGTGATCTTAGTCGCGAACTATTAAGCACAAGACTAGTGTCTCAATAATCTTGGAAAGTACATGTATGATGTAATTCGGAAAAATTCACATTGGTACTTTGCCGTTTGTAGCCCTCATGCGTGAGAAGCGGGTGAACCTCCACCGCTACTCCAAGAGGTCACATACAGTTTTGTTTTTTATTTAGACTTATCTAAGTAGGTACATTTACCAAGCCACATTAGTATTTAGACAAGATTTCAAGGTCTGGAAGCTGAAAAGACATCAGTCAGTACAGTACCTATGACATAACAGCATAACATGCCTTTTATCCCCGAAGGGGTAGGCAGAGGTGCACAATACGGCACTTAATGCCACTGTACGATGTAACACCCACTTTTCACTATTTATGTTATGAGTCCCATCTAATAGGGGGTGAGCCTATTGCCATATGCCGGGCACAAATCCAGACTCCGCGCAACTACTGAGAATCTTATTTTGAAAACCCAGTAATACTTTGCCCAACCCGGGAATTTATAGTTAAAAGTTTAAATAATATCTTGATGTCAATTGATATTGACTTGTGAAGGCAAGCTACCTAGACAGGCTAGCTAGCCAAGCGGCCGGGTCAAATAGTAGAAGATACGATATAACATCTACCCGAGCGTACGGCGCGTCGCGTTCCGCGCGCGCCTCAAAGAGCCATCAGACCACCACAGATGGGGCCCAATACGGCCGATGCCGATTCGGAGTCGCGGAGAACCTAACGGGTAACCGGGGCTCCGACTCGACGTGCAGGAGAAGAAACGGGGTCGTTTTTAGTCAGTAAGAGTCTGACACTCCCTCCCGCCTCACCCAGGCGGGAGCAGTTATTCGATGATTTTCCCCCCTTAAAAAAAAAAAAAACTGTATAATGTGAAAAAGCATTTATGTCATTATAATTTCGTATTTTTGAAAAGTCAAGAAATACAAAATAAATTATCGTCTGTTAGTCAGTCCGTCAGTGAAGCTAGGTTAAGCTAGGTAGTCAATTCAAAATGAAGATTCGAATAGAGAAGAACGAGCAAGAAACTCCATTCATTACTCTTTTTAAAAATGTATAAAACTTACTCGATTTGTAATTTATTTTAGGTATTAAAAATTATAATAAAATGGTCTGCTGATAAAATCTTGGCCAGGCTATAATGATAATTTAAGTACTTATTCGACTATATTTAATTATAGATATCAATGATATCATTAAAAGTAATTACTGCCTAGATCACATTGTTCTAAATCAACACATAGGTAGGCTTCCCACCGACAAGATTGTCATGAATCGTTAATTTAAATAATATATCGAACATCACAACTTTATTGCCTAACTTGACTGCCTCTTTGGCCGAGTGGTCGAAAGTGCCGGGAGTCTCGGGTTCGATTCCCGGGTCGGGCAAAGTATTGTTGGGTTTTTAAAAAAATCTCAGTAGTAGCACGGAGTCTGAAAATGTGTCCGGTATATTTAATATGGCAATAGGCTCACCCCCTATTACATGGGACTCATAACATAAATAGTGAAAAGTGGGTGTTACATTGTACGGTGGCATTAAGTGCCGAAATGTGCACCTCTGCCTACCCCTTCGGGGATAAAAAGGCGCGATGTTATGTTATGTTATGTTATCTCAACTTTATGTAGGTAGGCAGGTACCTATTGTCCTATTGTGTACACCAAACATTATTTTGTTGCGTTGCTTAAAAAATATCAGAGGACTTATTACAAGTTTGTTTTGTTTGCCAGCGCCAATGAACCAACCAATCACAGCGCCGAACGCGTACTCGTTTTTTTTTTAATGGGGGAAAATCATCGAATGACTGCTCCCGACTGGGTGAGGCGGGAGAGAGTGTCAGACTCTTACTGACTAAATACCACCCCGTTCCTTCTCCTGCACGTCGAGTCGGAGCCCCGGTTACCCGTTAGGTTCTCCGCGACTCCGAAAGTAGTAGTAAGTTTAAGTTAATGATTTTTTTCTCCACATACGTATCCAACAGGACTAAAAAAATTATCCAATTTCTTCAATTGGTCTGTCGATTGATTGAAGTTACCCACGTACAGACATTTCAGACATTCATTTTGATTTTTATAAAATAGATTTTTGATGACACACAGTTATAAAAAGTTTATTATTAGATTACGTCGCTGTCGACTGGCTTAATTACTTAACCCCTAATTAAACTCGTTAACAGCTACAAAAAATAGACATATTCTCACAAGTGTGAAATTTTTATATTCAAAAACATTAACTACTTATACAAACACGGTGAAACACGACATGGTAACACGGTATAATCCTTACTAATATTATAATATTCCTTACTATAATATTATAAATCGGAAAGTGAGTTTGTTTGTTCCGCTTTCACGCTGTAAGTACTAAACCGATTGCTTTGAATTTTTGCAGACGTAAAGTTAGAAGTCCGGATTAAATAATAGGATACTTTTTATCCCGAAAAAATTTGATATTCCCGAGGGAAAACCAAAGTATTGGTATAGATGGCGCTGTGCGTATTGGTATATGTCATATAGGCTACTTTTTATCCTTTTGTGACGCGAGCGAAGCCGCGGTAAAAGCTAGTTTTTATTAAATTGAAGCTGTATAAAATTTGCATTTAAAAAAATAACATGCATTTGTCCTTTTAGTTTGAGCGTGACGTCATTTGTTATTATTTTGCAGACCAGTCGAACAGCTTTCTGACTCGTTTGGTTACATAATTGAGTATTTTTCTGGGTCAACAATAAACTATTTTGATTTTTCAATCCAATTAAATATTCAAAAATGATTACAATTTAATTCATATATTTGACGATATACCTACTTCATTTTCGATTTATTCTATCAATTTTGCAAAAATAAGTGTGCTATTTGACTCAAAAATACGTATATGATGACGTCAGTTTTTGTTTTTATAATAACTATCGTGAGACATACTAAATTAAGTAAAATCGCGGGTTACTCACGTGAATATACTGAGAAAAGCTCTACTAGTTTCGAACCACAGAGGGGTTCTTCCTCATGAGCAGCGTGCGACCGCGCACACGACCGGCGAGTGAGAGAAAATACCTAGAACAATTGTTTTTTTGAAGAAATCTTTATTTTTCCTAAACTAGGTACTTAAAATGTATTGTGTTTGCATATACAGGATTATTATTATGTCTTTATCATTCACGGGACCAGAGGTTCATTTGGGAGGCATACGAGGGGCCGCAGCCAATGTAATGGACACACAAACCGTTGACTATCTCTGTATGCACTAGGCAAATGCACCCGAGGACAGTCAAAGTCAAAGTCAAAATCATTTATTTCAATTAGGCCAGAATGGCACTTTTGAACGTAAAAAAAATTAAAAGTGAAGCTATTTGCTCATTCCTATGGAGAAGAACGAGCAAGAAACTCCATAGGTTACTCTTTTTCAATCAGATTCACAATACAATTTACTAGTTACATAGTTTTGCTGTTTGGATTGTGCGAGAACAATGTAACACTAAAATCCAGTCAAAGTGATCAAAAAAGAAAATAACCTTAAGGACAGTCCCCGGTTAGTGTAGAACTATTGTGGACAATGGAAGAAAAATTATATTAGGTACCAGTTGCCCGCGACTTCGTACGCGCATTCCCGTTGCATTTTTTCGTACAAACCTTTTCCTGATAGTACCGAACACATAAATGAAGATATTATCAAATTTGGTCCTGTCGTTGTGAAGTTATATGCGTACATACATTTCAGGGATTCATTTTTATTCAGTTATCACCAAATACAACTTGAGCGAAGTTATACAATTTCTACTACACATTGATAATTTTTGATATTTGACCTTGAACCTAAAACAAATTCAATTTTCCAGGATAAAGTGTACAAGGAGATGATGGAAGTGGTCGGAGCTGACGGTCCAGTCACCAACGAGCAGTTGAGGCAGCTGGAGTACCTGGACATGGTGTACAAGGAGACACTGCGGTATTTCTCCATAGCTGCCCTGATACAGAGGACTGTAGTGGAAGAAATTACTATTCAAGACGGTATGACAATATTTTGTTTTTTTAATTTTCGTTAGGACATCGCATCGTATATCTTTTAGGAGTACAGGAGCCATGCTTCGGCACGAATGAGTTGGCTGGAATGATACCACGGCCTCAGTGGGGAAGATACGCTTATCCAATAGGGATGATGGCTGATTAAAAAAACTCATATAATTATCTATAATTGAATGAAAGAAAAGAAAGAAAAAGCATTTATTTGGCAAATGGCACACAAACAAAGATTATGAAAAATAAAAATAACAGATACTTACATAAATACATTTTACATAGAATGGTGTACTGTATTATTTCTGAGTAGATGGCGTTAGTGTAAAACTCCCATTTTTCGTCCAATAGGGGATTAGCTAGTGTCACATCGTTGGACGATCAATACTAACTGCACAGTTGGCGGTGGCTACGAAACTGGCTGCCGCACAACGTGTCGCGGGTTGGATTCCCGCACGGAACATCATCTTTGTGTGATCCACAGATTGTTGTTCCGGGTCTGGGTCTCATATGAATGTGAAATTGTATGTTTGTAAACGCACCCACGACACAGGAGAAAATCCTAGTGTAAGGCAACGATTTAAAAAAATAATAATAGACATGTGATTGGAGATTAAGATTTCTTGCTTAAAGATTTTTAATTAGCGCCTTCTGCTGTGTAAGAAACCTTACTTGTTAAAATCCGTCGAATTCCGAATCGAAATCCGAATTAGTCCGTTAGGTAAAGGATAATCAAAAAAAGGTCACAGACATAGCTTATTAAACTGTCAAATACCAAGCGGTCACCGGTGACCGCAACCTATTGTTCTATAATTGTGTCTGCAAAACCGGTACTCGACGAGTTAATTAAATAAAAATAAAACTATTTGGCCAAAACGAATTGAAATCATCACAACAAGTTTAAATTAATTCGATTAGGTCTTTGCATAACTTAAAAAAAAGAAAAAATATTAGTCTACATTCGTAACGGATGTAAAAATAAAATGTCATCTTCATTATTTTATTGAATTACGTCACTATCACAAAACATAATTATTACGAACATCGGTAGCTGTTATAAAAGTAATGTGAATTCATGATACCGAGGCACCTACTTAAACTGTCAAACACCAGGCGGTCACCGGTGACCGCAACCTATTGTTCTATAATTGTGTCTATAATGACGGTACTCGACGAGTTAAATTAGAGACTCCCTAGGCTGCCTTATTTGGCGGGAGTAGGCGTTAGCGGTGTGTTCACGCGCGCCACTCGAGGAAGGAAAACGCAGCTTTTGAGGGTTACTACGTGGTGGGACCTGTCATAATTTTGTGGTAGGTCGAGGTCTGCCCGGGTGCAGTTAATCCACAGGCAGAGGAGGAACACCGCGGTGGTATTAGCCGGTAAGAGTCCGGCACACCCTCCCGTCGTCCCCACGGCGTGGGAAGTCCATGAGGATTTCAATCGCGTTATAAAAAAAGCTGCCTTATTTAGTAGAGTGACCTCAGGGCTCAGGGTTGGAAACTAGTAGAGCTTTTCTCAGTATATTCACGCGAGTAACCCGCGATTTTACTTAATCCTGATTAATTAAGTTTATATGACTGTCTAAGATTATTAAATTAATGCTAGTCGAATAAAACTGTGAGGCCGTGGTATCACTCCGGGCGAAACGGCCCATTCGTACCGAAGTATGCGTATACCCACGTGAAATCTAGTCTTTTTTCAAAAGTTTTTCTCATTTTCCAGGTAGTATAACCCTCCCAGTGGGCACATCGCTGGTGATACCGATCCACAACCTCCATCGCGACCCTCGTTTTTGGGAGGATCCTCACAGGGTGATGCCGGAGAGGTTTCTCCCGGAGAACGTGAAGAAACGAGACCCTAACGCCTTCGTACCTTTCAGTTTGGGACCTATGGACTGTTTAGGTAATTGTAGTTTTTATATCTATTTTATGAAGTCAGGCCTTAATGAGTAAACGGGATCGCCTCATGTTAAGGGATTCATAATGTACTACATACATTATTCGAGGATGCTCGATTAGTTTCAAGTCTTGGAAGAGTCCATACGCTAAGAGCTCATTCTTCTGCAAACAAAAGCGGGAAATAAGTAAATGGTTACTTATGTGTTTTTATATGCTTCTTTAATTTATAATGCCCTGGTAGACACAGAGGTCAGGGTAAAGAAAATAAAATATAGTTAATTTTCCTGTCCAGGTCGAGTATACGCAACAGCTCTCATCAAGACGATAGTGGTGTGGGTGCTCCGGTACGCAAGGTTGGAGCCAGCTGGGAACCTTGACAATATAAAGCTCAACGTCGCCATCTCCGTGTCCTGCGCTGATGGATATAATATTAAGGCTAGACCTAGGAACGGTAGAATAAATGAATTAACATGATTATCCTTTTGTTTTGTTTTTATTTCATAATCATTGTCATCAACAGGCCGTACCTAAGTGTCTACTGCTGATCAAAGGCCTCTTATCAACCGGGGAAGATTTGAGCAGTAGTCACCACGCTTGCTCAATGCGGGTTAGCAATTTCAAACTTATAATCAGAAATTGTAAGACTAGTTTTCTTCATAATGTTTCCCTTTACCGTTTGTCAGTGGTTAGTTACCACTGACAATAATCTTAGAATGTACATAAGTATTATAACTCGGGGCAATTAAAATTAAAACATCGTCTACATAATGTCAATGTTAACATTCTGTTTTATGTAAATACGTTTTCTAGAACAGAATGTTTAATTTTTAAATATACATATTATTATTATTTTTCAGAAATCGTCGATATCTTATAGATATGGGCAGCGCGGCGTCTCTTGGACTGAATGTTTTTTTATAGCAAAAGCCGGTAAACGAGCAGACGGATCAACTGATGGTAAGCAATCGGCGTCGCCCATGGACACCTAGAACACCAGAGGCGTTACGAGTGCGTTACCGGCCTTTTGGGGATTAGAAATTTGAAGATTTTTAATGATTCGGGGATTGGGGATATTGGGTAATTGGGCCTCCAGCGTCAACCGTCGTGTCTATAATACGCTTTCATATTTTCACTACCAGTAGTGACTGCGAGACAAGACGGTGAGGCTTAAATGGTCTTCCTGTTTTCGCAGTAATGGAGGAACCAAATAAGAACTCGAACTAAGATATGTACTTGTATACGATCTATCTATACAACACGGGTAGGAAGAAATACTTTATGGTGTGCAAGGACCAGATTATCAAGGTGGCGTTCTGCAGATTCGATAATAAGTGTATTTTCTCCTTCTTGTTTCGTCCTCATTACCTTTTTCTAGAATCTCTGTGATGAGAACAAAGCATGTTTTTTTTAATGACCAATGTCTTTTTATTTATTTTTTTAAGGGGGGAGAATCATCCAATGACTGCTCCCGCCTGGGTGTGGCGGGAGGGAGTGTCAGACTCTTACTGACTAAAAACTACACCGTTCCTTCTCCTGCACGTCGAGCCGGAGCCCCGGTTACCCGTTAGGTTCTCCGCGACAGGTCTGCAAGGTCTGCATGTTATCATAATGTGCATATATTATATTCATACAATGTATGTAGTAAAAGCGATTCTTTTAATAAACAAAGAGACTCTCCAATTTCATTTACCTGTATACCTCTAGATGTATCGATTTAACCAGATTTCGAGATTTATTTCTAGTAAATTTTTGGACAAAAATACTGGTTTCCTAAAAAAAAAAACTAATCTTCCAAGGTCCCTATGCAAACGGCCATGAATTTGAATATATCTAGACAAAATATTGCGATACCAGTGCGCGTGGCTTAAAAACGAAAAACAACCAACCAACTGAAAATAATATTTAAGATTTGTATTTAAATAATATTACTTCTTTGTAGTGAATTGGTCAGTGTGTGCGCACACATTTTGACACAGAGTAGTGTGAGTACACATTTAGTCATTGTAATCTAGACGTCTTAGTCTAGCCTAATACAGCACTTCGGGAGTTCAGCACTCGATTTTTGTAAAAGTGAGTTTTATATTATGTATACATATTTTTATTATTTTTAATCGATTGTACCTCTATATAGCTTGCCCCATTTGTTTTTTTTTGGTCAAAGCAATTTGAATTTTACCTACTTCTTGACGACAGATCGATTTAATATTTGATGCAATATTATGATCTTTTTTTTTAAGTATCTTCAGTATGGATATGTCAAACGAAGGGGCCTGATTGGTGGACTAGACCTCATTAGAAAAGTTTAATAGAAGTATATTTTTATGTTTATGTTTTTTCTTATGTTTATAAACAAAAAATAAATAATCATATTACGTATTTGACGGAAGTGTGATTATGGATTTTTTTTTATATATTAATGTCCTAAAAAGGTACCTACTTAATGCAATTTATTATTGCTGAGGATTCACCCTAATTCCCAAACGTGTTGTAAATAAATAATTACCGAGCGAATAATTTTTGCTGACATATTACCAAATTTAAAAAAGGCTATAGTGAGATTATTGAGTGACCATAATGTTTAATTAATTAATTTTTATAATTAGTACTTAGTATTTTTTGTTTTTTTTAAGTAGCTATTTCAAATTTGTTTTTTTTAGTTTATTTGTTTTTAATTGTCATAATTTTGTTGCGTATTTTAGTTTATAATTCTGTTTGCTATTCTATTTCTTTTATTGTCTCTACTTTCTGATAAAAGTTCTACCATTTGGTTACTGCACATATTGTGCCACCCTTAAATGTTGTGCATTCAAAATGTAGATATTATTATATACGTGCTTAGATGTAAGACTTAATGTACCAAGTTTAATAAATAAAGTTTAATATGTTAAAGTTTAATTCGTACCAAAGTACGAATATACTGGGTATCCCTGGAAGTAAGGATTAAATAGAACAGGGGACTAGAGGTGATTTGTCATTTCTTAATTTTTTGCTCTGGCCATCTGGGGATGGGGGTCCGATTCTAACCGGTTCAAAAGTTATGACTAATTTCAACTTTGTTCAGTGATTTCGCAGTTAGCTCAAATAACAGATCACATACAAAAAAATGTCGTCGTAAAAGAGTCTCTCTCAAGTAATATAATTCTTTTATAAACATTGTATAAAAAAGCCGACTTCTACCCCCCCTTTTTTGAGTCGGCTAATCTATCTTCTAACTATAGGTAAGTCCTAACGGGTTACCGGGGCTCCGGCTCGACGTGCAGGAGTAGGAACGGGGTTGTTTTTAGTTAGTAAGAGTCTGACACTCCTTCCCGCCTCACCCAGGCGGGAGCAGTAATTCGATGACTTACCTCCCCTAAAAAAAAACTATAGGTAGGTACGTATGTATAAAAATGAAACCCGTTTTCCGTTGTCACGACATAGCATGAAAACTGCTCGACCGATTTGGTTGATTTTTTTTTTTGTTGTAATTGTTATTATTAGGAGAACGTTTTTAAGACCAAAAAAATCCTGAAAATCCGACAGGAACGGGAGAAAAAGGGATTGTGTGTACGAAGACGCGGGCAGAAGCTAGTTATGTAATAAAATGTTATGTTTTAAGTGTGGGAGAGCCATGCTTCGGGCCTTCGGCATGAATGGGCCGGCTCGACCGGAGTGATACCACGGCCTCACAGAATACCGACGTGAAGCAATGCTTGCGTTGTGTTTCGTCGTGTGAGTGAGGTTGCCGGAGGCCCAATTACCCTCCCCTTCCCCAATCTCCCCAATTCCTGAATCCCCAACGATCCTTAAACTCCAAATCCCCAAAAGGCCGGTAACGCACTTGTAACGCCTCTGGTGTTCCAGGTGTCCATGGGCGACGCCGATTGCTTACCATCAGGTGATCCGTCTGCTCGTTTACCGGCTTATGCAATAAAAAAACCTTCTCATAAGTGCAACAAACACTTTTCTGAAAACCGCAACAAAATCGGTTCAGCTAATCGCGAGATAATCGCGCACAAACATACATACATATTTCCTCATTATCATAACCACCTGCTTTTTTTCTTATTAACATCGTTTAAAAACATTAATTTATTATTTTAATACAAGGTGTTGTTTTAAAGCCGCATCATTTTCTATAGGAGGTAACTCGGCTATTGATTCTGAGTCCGAATCAGTAAAAAATATTGTAGGTAAATATTTTTCATTTTTCTGTAAATTACGGAAATCCGTTAGTGCGAACTACACGTCGCCGTCTTGTAACTAGCTTTATAACGTGGCTTAACACACACAGACTCAAACACGTTATTGGTATTATTCCTAATTCCATAAAACTCCAATAAGAAGCATTGTTGTCGCTTTTTCTGAAATACTATCAAACTTAAACGATTTATTATAGCCGTATTTTTAACTATTGGCCCGAAATTTTCTCTTGTAATGAACCTTTATGACTTCCGTGACATGCCCCCGAGAAATGACACGGCTTCAAAAGTAAACCTTGTATAATAATAAGTATTAAAAAAAATTGGTTGCGTTGCTTAAATATTAATGAGTTTTATAATGTCAGTCCGCATTCGCACTCATTTGTTTATTGTGTAAAATTGTGACCTTTATAGTATAAGAATAATAAATGATGCAGTCGATGCGACGGGCGAGTCGCGCAGCTTACCTTGTATCATATCACCGCGACCGCGTACGCTGCTCATGAGGTAGAGCCCCTCTGTGGCTCGAAACTAGTAGATTTATAGATAATATTAGTAGGATCCTACAGTGCTGGATCCCACAAACTTTGTTTGACTTTGGAATTTTTTCTGCGAATTTTTTTTTACAACAATAACAACAAACAACAACAAACTCAACAAAAAAAGAATAATCGAAACCGGTTTAGCAGCTCTCGAAGTTTGCGCTCAGCAATACATTAAAATAAAGTAAATATTGAGACCTTATTAACAGCGTATCATGGACTAGTTTGTTCAGTGAGTTGTAAGTTGAAAGTACAAAGTTTTTAGGTTTGCAAATAGATCAACAATTGAATTGGAAATCACAGGTAGATAGTTTATGTAAGAGAATAAGTAAGTCTGCATATGCATTACATAGATTATCAACTATAGTCAACAGAAATGCTCTTCTTACGCCTACTATGGAACTGTAGAATCACATTTGAGGTATGGGATTATATTTTGGGGAAATCTACTGAAAGAGAAACCGCTTTCAAAGCACAAAAAAATGCTTACGAGCGATGTTTAAGCTAAAATCTACAGATAGTTGTGAACCATACTTTAAAAATTACAAAATATTGACGTTGCCTAGTTTGTATATCCTGGAAGAAACTGTGGACGTGAAGACAAACCCTAGTCGTTTTAATCGCATGGCCGATGTGTTTCCCCGCAACAGACGCGATAATAGTCTGCTATATAAAGCCTGTAATTGTTACCCATACTTGCAAAATAAAAGTTTCTTTATCTTTACCTTTCAGTTTATATTCAGTTTATGTT